TATATATTGAAACAAAAAAAGATAAAGATTGAAAAAAAGCAACAAAAACTGAACAAGAAATAAAAAAAATATAATGAAAAACATGAAAATCAAAGTATTTTTTATTGATTTCCTTCGCTTTGGCAGCGTTCTTTCGCTCGTCTTCTTTGCGGCGCGATTCGTAAACGTTTCGTCTGCCATTTTGCTGGCGGGTGTTAATCACTTGGCACTCGCACAACAAACAGTAAACAGCTCGCCAGGCCCTTATGCAATTGGCAATTCGGAATTCGCAATTGGCAATCGGCTGATCAACGATCACGCTACTCTTCAGGTATTATGTGATCAGATCAAACAGATCCCACTCGCTGCTACGCTATTTCGTTGTTCTTCCTTCCGTTTGTCCCGCCTCGCCTCGCCTCACCCCTCCTCTGCTCGCTACTCTTCTCTTCTCTTATACAATTCATTGTGGGACAGTAAGGGAAATATGGGTAATATGCTAATGCTAGTGAAAATACGGACGACGGACGAGTCGTAGACCTATGCATTCTACCTGGCGTCAGATTCCCAGACAGACTTGTTTATGCCGCAGCTTTAAAGCCAATTTAAGACTAAGATCTATAGCTCAATATATAAATACAGTAGAATCCGGCTATAACGTCTCCGCTTATAGCCTGTGTACGGTTATAGCCACGAAAATTCTGGTTCCCAAACTTATACGGCTCTAGCACCTTCCGGGTATAACGACGGTCCCTCGTATTTCGGAATTTACTACCATCTATATATATACATATATACAGATTAAGGTTTCTTCTTATATGAACTCCCTTACATGCCAGACATATCCATACTATTTATATACATACATATATAAAATTGTAAAGGATCCTTCCTATAAGCCGAAACTTTCTACAAATATAATGTAACATAAAAATGAAATGTAAAATATAAAAAAATATTATATAACATATATGAATATATGCGAATGAGATCACTTTATAATAACTGTAAGTTCCTAAATAATTTGCAAGATCTTTTCGTCTTTATAATCTATATACATTTCATATATTACATATATTATTATATAGCCAACTCTGTAGGTAACCTCATATAGACCTATTCCACTTGAGACTTACAGCCAAACGAAACAGATCCTAAATTGATCTCACGCCATTTGATGTTATAATTTGAATTCACTGAATATGACTCGTTTGTTACCTGATACCATCGTGCACCTTGCCTCATTATCAGACCATGCCACATATGTTTCTATTGTATACTAGGAAAGGCACTGTTGACTTTCGCTGAAATTGATTCTTCGAGAAGCACTGTTTGCTTTGAAATCACAATCCATTGAATATGTTTCAGTTACGCTTATTTCAGATGTTGTTCCAAGTACCATTCATTGCATTTGCCTATTAGTTTTCCTATTGGCTTTTGCTGCACTTCACCTTCAAGTTCGTCTCGAACGCTCTATCATCTCTGATCGCCCAGAGATCGTTTGAATATTTTCATTTCAGCTACTGTTTCAATTCCCATTCATTTCATAAAGTGAAATGAGACGAGAGTAGCTCTTTTGGCTGTCTTTGAGCTCCTCCCATCGTGGATTTCTTTGCGCTTTGATAACGATCGGCTGATCAATTGATCTCAGTCAGTCATCGCTTTATTTCAAAGCTCATTTTCATTCCGTTTCATTCCACTGAGATCGTTTCTATAGTAGTAACTTTTCATGAGACCTATCGATTCATTTAAATCTATCGAATATGATCAGATATTGCTGTATTCCGCAGCTAAGCTAGCATATGTTCCATTTCATTTCGTTTCAGTCCAGAAAAGGTCTTGTGGCTTTTATTGAATTCGTTTCATCGCTCTATCATCGATAAGCTGTCATCAGGTATATTCCACTCTCAAACTTATTCCATTCCATTCCCAGCGAATCACTTCATTTGGCTTTCCTTTCGATCACTTCTCCACTTCTAACCTCACTTCACTCTGATCATCATATCAGCTCTGCTTTGGCTTCGCAATTAAGCTCATGTCAGTTCCATTCCGTTTCGTTCAAACCAAGAAAAGAGCATTCATATTTTACCGACTCTGTCTTATCTACATTTGCTCGCAACCAGTTATCGATATCTTATTATCGATCAATTCCACACTTAGGCTCATTTCCATTGCATTCCAGTCCATTCCAAGCCTTTTGGCTTTCATTGAGATCGTTCATCAGAGATCTCTGTTCGCTTTGAACTCGTGAATACTTTGAATACTTTCAGTTATCTCTTAATTCCACACCTTGTCTCGTTCCCACATCATTCCCATCGCACGGACAAGAAAAGCTCTTTCGGCTTTCGCGCCAGATCGCTCCATGATGAATCTCTGTCCGTATGATCTCGTGATCTTGCGTGTGTCATCTCATCTTGGCCAGCTCATCGCCAGCACCTCGACAACTGCTGTGTGTGTGTGTGTGTGTGTGTGTGCCTAGTTTTTTCGTATGGCCGTTCCATTCCATTCCGTTTCGCCCCGCTTTCGCGTGCTGTGTTTCTTAGTTCTGGTCAATTCGCATGGCATATTTTGGTTCTTTTCGGCTACCGCGCTGCGCTGGCTGCTATGACTAAGCCGCTAAATTCTATAATGCTCGTATTTTTAAAACATTTAAAAATAAAGTGCTCTCGTTTGCCAATGTGTGCGCCAATCGGCAGTCAGAGCTGTCGCCGTTGACGTCGCCTCTGCCGCTGTCGCTGTCATCGCCGCAGTCGCCGTCGCAGTCGCGGTCGCTGCTCTGCCCCTCACTTATTTTACGTAGTTGATATTTTTGCATAGCACACCCAACTCGACACTGTGTGTCTCTCTCTGTGTGTGTGTGTGTGCGTGTGTGTTGTGGTTGTGCTTGCTGCCAAAGAATTTTTCGCTAAGTCGTGCAAGAAGTTGCTCGAAAGAGACCAACAAATACCCTGCCTACGCACTGAGTCCATGCGACTGTTCGCTCAGCTCGAACAACTTGAGTTAAGTCAACTTTTAGCTGCTCTACATATACCCTATAAGCGAAACTGCTCAATTTCAATATGAGAGACTGCCTAGATACTCTACATAAGAAATACCCTATCTCAACTGCTCACTAAATGAAGTTTCAATAAGCGTAGAGCTGCTCGACTTACCAGATACTCTACATTGCAAATACCTTAGCAACGCATCAGTTTGACATTCCAATATACTTTGACCTCTTCGACCTGCTAGATGCTCTACAAAATGATTACCCTACCCATGTAGCTCATATGCCATCTTGTTCGAGTTGGTCTTATTGAGCTAATTTTTATACTCTACTTTACGCAAATGGTTGGAACAGTTGGGATTATTTCAGTACGTCAAAGTGCTTTCTACTTCCCTTAAGATTTATCGATTGCCACAAATCGCTTATCGATCTTGAGC